TTTTAATAATGATTCCAGGAATACCAGCCTTTTAGTTCCAGTCAGTGAGGATAGCAATTACAAGTAGTTTCAATCTAAGATAACAAGGTGTACAGCTGGATGAACACAGCAGGCCAAGCAGCATCAGAGGAGCAGGAAAGCTGACGTTTCGGGTCTCGACCCTTCTTCAGAAATGGGGGAGGGGAAGGGGATTCTGAAATAAAAGGGAGAGGGGGGAGGCAGATAGAAGATGGATAAAGGAGAAGATAGATGGAGAGGAGACAGACAGGTCAAAAAGGCTGGGATGGAGCCAGTAAAGGTGAGCGTAGGTGGGGAGTTAGGGAGGGGATATGTCGGTCCAGGGAGGACGGACAGGTCAAGGAAACGGGATGAGGCTAACAGGTAGGAGATGGGGGTGGGGCTTGAGGTGGGAGGAGTGGATAGGTGGGAGTACAGGTTAGGGAGGCGGGGACGAGCTGAGCTGATTTTGGGATGCAATCGGGGGAGGGGAGATTTTGAAGCTTGTGAAGTCCACGTTGATACCATTGGGCTGCAGGATTCCCAAGCGAAATATGAGATGCTGGTCCTGCAACCTTCAGGTGGCATCGTTGTGGCACTGCAGGAGGCCCAGGATGGACATGTCGTCTGAGGAATGGGAGGGGGAGTTGAAATGGTTTGCGACTGGGAGGTGTAGTTGTTTGTTGCGAACCGAGCATAGGTGTTCCACAAAGCGGTCCCCAAGCCTCCGCTTGGTTTCCCCGATGTAGAGGAGGCCACAATCTAGTCTGGTGACACAAAACCATTTGTAACTTTTCTTTGTTTGGCCTCAATTAGATGGACTTTCATAAAAGTTGCTTGAATAATAGCCAACATGGTAGATGGAAGTATTTTACCAATGCAGTCAGAACATTCTTCTGAAGTTGAGGTAAAAAACATGATTGGTTGTAGGACAAAAGTAGCTTTTCCTTGGGTTCCTGCTGATCTGATATGCCAAGCATGATGATTTAATGTAAAATGTGGCTGCATTCCCTTTCTTATAGCTGTTGGGTATCAATTTGATGAAAATTGACAACACCTTATCTCTCTCTCTTTCTGTGGCTCATATATAAAGGCGACAGTGTTGAATGAAGCTAATATGACATGAGCCTCTGATGGTTGAGTCACTGGGTGGAATTGAATTGCTTCCTACTAGAAGAGGAGATTAGAAGATGCACGGTGCTGGAAATATTTAGCAGATTGGGCAATATTTGTATGAAGAAAAATAGAGTTTAAAGAAAAAAAGACAAAAACTTTTCATTGAACAGTTCAGGTATAAGTTTTATTTACACTTGCAACAAAGCTGCCTGAACTGGTGCTATCAGACTTGCTGAATATTTCCAGCATTTTTCTTTTATTTTCAGATTTCCAGTATCTGTACTATTTTGCTTCAGTGTTGCACTGAAAGGCAAGTCAACCTCATCATAACTTTAGTAATGTGACTAAGGCTTCATATTCTTGTATGTGTATTTTGTCAATTTCTTATTTGCCCCTCATTTGTCTCTTGAGTGACTTCCATCTTTCTTTTTCTGAGAAGTTAGTTTGAAGTTAAAATAGAAGCAAAGTTTTTTTTCGTTACATCCTTGGCGAAGCAGTTTATGTTGTCTGAAGGATAGCCTAAAATGTCCAATGTTTGTTGCAACCATGCAGTAATGTTTGCATTAAGTTGTAAGGTTTTGTAGTTTTGGTTGAGTGAGCAACATTTTTCAGGATGTGCAGAGTTTCCATTTGCTATCTATTAAGAAGGTTGCCCTCGTGATACACTCGGTCAATACGGAGATGTAGCCAAGGTTTGAACCCATAGCTTTCTGATTGAGATGAATGTTACCCAATGAGCCATGTTGATGTTCTGTACAACAGGCTTATCAGGCAAGTTGACAACTTTTACGCCCTTTTTTGGGTGATGTGGAAGTTGCATTGTGTCTTGCCTGTTTACACCTGCGAAATGCATCACAAGCAATTGTTCAGAAGAATTTTCCCTTGCCAAGGAATGGGGTATGGAAGAGAAACATTATGAAGTATGAACAATTGATATTGTTCTTTTAAAATGGTTAAATTGGACATTGGGAGCCACACTTAAAGTGAGTGTTATCAACTAAGCAAAGTTGCTGAATAAATATTGAAAGAAAAATCCTTAACGTGTCACGAACTGACCTTGAGAGCAGCTCTGAATTGAAATTGTTAATCAGGACTTGCAGAAACTTTCATTGAGAAGATGAGTTTCATTAAGTTCATAATTATTATGTTTTGTGAAGGCCATTTCAGGTGGAAAATGAAGAAGCTTGATCACATTCTTAATGTGATGTACTGTGTAAATTGTCATAAAATATTCATTAATTTTATTGTCTTTTATTGGTGCCTTTTTTAACACTTCTAAAATATTAGATCGAGAGAGCATTTAAAAAATAAGGGCAACCATTTAATACACTAACAAGGAACGTTCTTTTCTGAGGGTGTTGAGCAACTCTTCCACTGCTTTTCAAGGGAGGGAGCCTTTGAATATTTTTAAGGCAGAGGTAGAAAAGTTCTAGATGGGCACAGGACAGGAGTGAAATATGGGGCGAAGTGGGAGTAATCGAATCAGCCATGATCTTATTGAACGATGAACTTGGTCCAAAGGGCCTACTACCACAACGTTGAATGTTCCTATTCGTTTTGTTTGAAACAGGTAAATTGGAGAATATTGCTTTGTTGTTTCCATGTTTTATATTTGATGGGGAGACATAAAGTCTCTTTTTTTAAATGGATCCTGCAGGGTCATTGCGTGACAATATTGTCTTTGGTTACTTGCCATAAGTTCTTTTCCCATGCTTTCAACTTCACGCTTTTCACTGGTCACTGTAATCTGAACCAAACTGTTTGCACCCTTGGCATCCTGTTTGACCCTGATTTGGGTTTCTGGCACAAATTCATCTATTTCCATTTCCAGTACATTGCTGCAGTCTCATCATTGCCATTATCATTTCTAGACTTGCCTCTGGTCCTGACTGGCCTCACTGTTCCAGCCTTCCTTAAACTTGAACTTATCCAAATCTCTGCTGCTCATATTTAAAATTGCACCAAGTCCTGTTCACCCGTCAGTCTCGTACACACTGGCTTGCGTTCATCTTCAGTCGGGAAATACCTCTTAAAATTATCATCATTGTTCACTCATCCCCTCCATGGCCTTTCCCGTCCCTATCTCTAACTTCCTCCAGCCTCCCAACCTTCCAAGATTTCTCCACTTCTGGCCTCATGTGAACCTCAATTGAATTTGGTTTTCAGCTGTCCACAACTTTTGTCCTCTTTTAGTCTCTCGGCCTCTTTATCCCCTCTTTACACCTTTTAAAATGCTCTGTAAAATATACCTCATTTTAGCTGACCTACTATCTCTTTGTGTGACTTGAGTGTAAATTTTTGATGTTGCTTCTGTGAGCCATCTTGGGTTGTTTAATTGTGTTAAAGATGCTCTGTAAATGCAAGCTGATGTTGTGTTTTGTCAATTAGCAATGTGTCTTGTGTGACTATAATTCTAAAGCTGTGTTAGTCTAGTGTTCAGTTCTAAGGGGGAAAAATAAAGTGTTTATCCGACACTCTTCACTGCCCCTGTTTCAAGCTAAAGTTTTATGCTGCAGTCAGGAACATACTTTGCTGGAAGTAATTTACAATCCAAATTTAATGTCACTTTATCATTGTCGCCTGATGTAACATTTTTCCAAGTCTTGGTGCTTTGCGTTATGGACTATATCCTACCACCTTGGTTTTTCAATTTGATTTGATTTTTAACCTGTTATCGTCTGTCTTTATTTGAATACATTAATGAAGGCAATTCAAATTTGAGCTTTGGAATGAGAAGTCCCAAGTTTGACTTTCAATGTGCAGATTTAGTCAGTCTCAACTTGAATACCAATATAGGCTATAATTGTTCTCCCATTGCTTATCAGGGGATGGATGGAGAGAATAATAAGGAAATTTTGGCTGTTTCCCTCTCTGGTGAGGGTGTGGAGGTGCCAGTGTTGAACTGAGCTTTTATTTATACATTGTGTCTGATCCTACCTCTCTCACTAACACCTGAAGAAGGACTGAGGCTCCGAAAGCTTGTGTTTTCAAATAGAGCTGTTGGACTGTAACCTGGTGTCATGTGATTTCTGACCTTCTCTGGTTAGATAATTAGTGTGACTGACAAGAATGGAAAAGCAGTGAAGTAATTTTCTGTTGTTAGAATTTGATGTGTCACAATGTACCAAGACTCACTGGGGAGTGAAAGATTAACCATTTTGCCAGTTACAACAGGATAACTGGTGCCACCGGAATTGCAGTTATTTTGTCCAAATTATTCAGACCTGTGTTGCCCACTTCTGAGAGATAATAGAATATACTTAGACCAAGTTAGAGCCCGGGATGCTTGGAGCTCTATAAAACTCAATTAACTTGTTAAGTACTTGAACGAATAACACATGCTTTTCAGTGCTAGAGATATCTGAATCACTGTCTTTCGCTAGCCTGGGTTCTGAAATTAATCCCAAATGTTGTTACCCAGGAGAGTTTGCAGCTTGCCAGCCTAGAACTACACTTGATGTCTTCACGACACCTTCTGACCTAGGGTAACTCCCGCAGTGTTAATCTTTGAAGTTCTGCTGAAAGAATTTTCTCAAGCTACTTTATACACAGGTCTCTGTGCCAAGTGCATGCATTATTTGGAATTATCCATACATGTGACCGATCCTGAATGTTTCGTCCTTATTTCGTAGAGACTGCAGTCACTAATTTCTTGGAATCTGGACAGACCTGAATGATCCAGCATAATTCCACTCACTTAAAAATCCATTGTAAAGCTTCTTTTCAGTTCAGACTTGGACCTCCTAGTCCAGAGGCAGAGGCACTACTGCTGCACACAACCCCATACCAGTGGAATTCTAACTCTACAAAGTTAATGCCTTCGGAATAAGAGAAATTGATAAATTGCCAAAACGATTAACTAATTTGTTTGTTTTTCTCTCCTATAGGACGGTGGGTTGCTTATTAACAACCCTTGTGCATTGGCTCTACATGAGTGCAAACGTCTGTGGCCAAACACACCATTTCAGTGTGTAATCTCTCTAGGAACAGGCCGCTATGAAGCACTGGGGAAAAATAATGTGACCTACACAAGCCTCAAAGCAAAACTGACTAATGTTATCAGCAGCGCCACAGATACAGAAGGTTAGTTATTGTAGGATGAACATTTTAAACATTTTTCTATATTGACTCCTGCCACAAATTCTTTTTTCGCCACCAGTTCAGCTCCCATGTTCTGAATTTACACTGTCCCGATTTAGAAATAATAGTCAAGATAATGCTTTGAAAGATCAGATTAAAGAAACTGGATCAGTTCTAAAATTGGTGAAATTAAAATGAATTTGGCAGTTGTCAGGGCAAGAACTGAAAATTGAGGGATACTAAAATGTATGCCCTATCTGTGAACATGTTGCCATGATTTAAATCGGGTCTTGTGGCCTTCCAACCTGCAGACTTCACTTGGGCTGTTCTACACATGACTCAGCCAGAGATGATTAATGAGAACATTAGTGACTAAACGTGGTAAAGACGTATTGAATGATGTACACAACCATCTTTGTTGAAGGGATGAAAGACCCAGCATTAATTGACTTTTAATATTAGAAATGTTTTTTAAAGTTAGGCACCTCTTTCATACATTATGGAGCTTGACATCTTCTTTGGAATTAATTCAAATAGTTTTGTTTTTAAAAGACCTTTCATGTGGAGTATCCACCCACCCCTTAGGAGAATATATTTGGGATCCCTGTATGCACATTTTTATAACAGGCACATTTTTTTTTAAAAAGAGCAGTCTCTTTTAAATCCTGTGTGACGTAACATAAACCAAGTATAATTCATGTATTTGTCTTTATAAATCATGAAGACCTCACAAGCTGCACAGAAATGTTCATTTGGTGTTCGTGTATATGTCAGATGCTACTGACACTAACATACTGTCGTGTTCTAATTTGGGATTAGTCCATCAATAAGGCAGCAACACCAAAAAAGAAGCCCTTTTGAAACCTGTAGTCTGCAAAAATTCAAATAGAGCAAATCAGCCAACGAGAAATGTAAGGATAAATAGACATGATGTAATTGGCCAGTTTGTCAGTGCAACAGGGTTAAATACCCCACTTTAAACCAACGTCACATTGACCCTTCTTGGAGGGAGTTCCTTGACTCATTGTCTGCTGATGCTTCATCCTGGACCATTTTCTCGAACCAATTTTTTATCCCCTCTGATGGTTTGCCATTGCCTACCATTCCCGGGGCAAATCCTAGGACTACCTCAGCTGGAACAACAGTCTCACCTGCACAGATATTATTCTGAATCACTGAACTCTGTACCTAGCCAGCTAAGCTAACTGCAGGCTTTCACTTGTACAAGTGCCTGCCTCCATTTATTTTGACTTTTTATTTGAGACCTGAGTACCACTTTAATCTTCTACAAAACCTCAGTTATGCCTGATCGCCTCTCTAAAGCTGGTGCTGTCAGTTCAAAAATCATTCTATAACGTTCTGTGTTAAATAGAAACTGATTGAGGTCCCCTATAAATCAGTGACTAAAGGAGGTGAAAAATAATCATAGTTTGATTTAAAATACCTGTCCCACGAGAGCTGTTTGTGATATCTTAAAGACCATTTTCCCAGGCTTCCAACAGAATACAGATGATACTGTAAATTGCTCCCTATGTGACATAAATATCAATAAATAAAAACAACTCAATATTGATAATTGGATGCTGAAGTAAAAGAAATATCAGCTGCTTGATAGGCGTTTAGCAGTTGTGCTACTGGCTGCAGTTCATGTCGTCCCGATAATCTCTGAAGTTTCTAATTTCCTCAACAACAGTGGATTTTCCAATTGTGATCTGGCACCAGTGTTTATAGGAATGCCGTCCATTCGTAACAAGATAATTTAGTCATAAGTACTTTAATAATAGTCTAAAATAGCCTAATGCAATTCAGTTGAGATCATGCATTGAGTAATACCTCATCAAATCAGAGTCCTAATGACTTGTGCTAAATCACTTTACAACATATATTGCTCTTGATAACACGTTTCAGATGGAAAAGTATCCTTTGCAATCAAGAACTATACCTTCCACAATTTTGTGGTTTCAGTGATTATTTGTAGGTCATCGTAAAATGTATGTTTTGAGTTGAAAACCTGATGATTGAAATTGGAATAGAGAATGAGTCCAATAAAATCTATTAGGCTCATCTATTGACCGAGTGCTGCATTGATCTGGTACTCTTATGAATAAGCAACAGAAACTTCTTTTCTGACTAAAAAATTGAATATACCTGTAATACTGGGTTTAAGATACACTTACAATTTGTCATTTATTGTTCACAAATGTATTTTTCCAATGCTAATTGTTAGTTTGGCATCTGTAATGTTGAGAAATTAAGCTGCTTACTAGACCTGACTGCCTTAAGATCAGAATTGTAAATGGCCAAATTGAAGTGAATGTTACTGCTAATAACCTACTGGTGTAACTCAGCACAATTGTAACTGCTTATAAATTTTGGCCTTTAGGACAGTAATTGGTTTTCATTATTTTGCATATGTACCAAGAACAGTACTTTGACATGCACTTTCAAGTTTAATCAATTTTTAAATTGAATTGAATCCCAGCTGCTGTAATCAATGCTGCAAATAACTTGGGACTTTGCAAATGGTTGCCATTAATTGCTTTATCGCTCCATATCCACCTGCCTCTGCAGTACCATTTGCCTTTAACTCCTGCAGTCTAGATCAGCTGACGTTGCAACATTCAATAAATCAACACATTTGCTTGCCCATGGATTCTCACACTTTATCAGTGTTTTAAGTGTGATATGAGCATGAAATGGTACATCAGTGGGTTCAAATCTTCTTTTACCTCTGGAAGCTGTTAGGATTTTGATCTAGGCAGAGGTGCTGAGATATCCTGATGGTTGCAAAGGGTTTATGTGTACTTAGCACCGGTTGATAGTGGGTGTAGGTTCACAGCTCAAAATGCTGTACAACATGACACAAAAATCACACTTGAATGTCATGACAACTGTTGTCAAAAATGAATGCTGAACCATCACAGCAAGTTGGTTGTAACGCTAAGGTCAGCATATTGTTGAAAAACTAGCCGATGACCCTGAGCAAAGCATGGCCTCGGAGGCGTTCATTCTGACAGTGTAGAACATGTTTGCATAAAACCTGAAGAAAAGTTAGTTTGCTCAGCAAACCCATTCATTCAGTACGTAGGTTCTATGATCAACTTGTATCCCTTAGTTTGAATCTCCAAACACTGAGAAATGATGTACATAAAATAATACAATGTTCACACCTGCCTTCAGCTTTCCCATATCTACTACATGTTTAATTTTATTTTGAGAATCCTTGAGCTCTCCTAAGCAGTTTTTCTTGGAAACATTTATTTCAGAAGTTCACACCATGCTTGACGCACTTCTGCCTCCTGACACGTACTTCAGGTTCAATCCTTTCATGAGTGAAGACATAGTCTTGGATGAAAACCGTAAGGAGAAGCTGAATCAATTGCAAATGGATGGAAGCCGGTACCTGGAACGCAATGAACCGAAACTTAAAAGGGCTGCTCAGATACTTGGTCAGGAGAAGGGCGTGCTTCAGAAAGTATCTGATTGGTGTAAATTAAAGATAGACATGTATGATGGCCTCCCTCTTATTTCCAAATTGTAAAACGAAAGTGTCTATTTCCAGAATCTGGTCAGTCACTATATCAGTGTGATTTCATCAGTCTGATTAAATTGATCTGTAACCGCTGCAAAATTTGAAAAGCGATACTAAATTTGAGTTAATACTTGAACCATGTAATTTTCTTTTTTTAAAGAAGTACCAATGCTGCTTATTTTACAGATTTACTCAAGTTCCAATGTCATCATGTTTGTAAATTGCTGTTTCCTTTGTCTTCAGCTGAAATCTGGCGATGCTGAGTACATTTCCATGGACACAGCGTGTCTATTTCGTACTGAGTTTTGGTTTGGATTATTTATTTTGCCAGAAATCAGATATCATCTTTGTGCAAAATAAGATTTTTATTGATGTGAAAATATCAACATGGTTTTAAACATGATCATGCTCGTTGAAGATGTAATTAACTAACTTAAGCCCCCAATCCCCAAATAAATTGCTTTTGCCATACCATCTAATTTTCACTCAAACGCTTCAAGATGTTTGTGATGAGGACCGTTTGAAAGCTGTTCAGTCATCTTAATAAAGGCATCTGAACATGCTATGTTTATACAATGAATAATGTCTGCTGTTTAAGTATACTCTTTATCCTATTTCCTGATAAACTGTAACATGCTACTACATTTCCATTTTCTCTTGTATATCAATAAACCTTGTGGTTTAACACTAATGCATAATATTTTTTTCTTTCTTAGACAGTAGTTGCACCCTTCCCAGTGTGTTTTTTTTTGCCTTTCCTCATGCTGTTGCATCCCTGTTCTCAAAGATACTGCACACTCTTTTATGTCATCCAAATTTTCTCGAGTCACAACAGTTAGCCTTGACATTATCTGCAGATATTTAACTGAAGGGGCTTTCAGAATTTGATGATCCAGTTTTGCAATCGTCCGTGTGATTTTTAAATTTTGTTCTTGAGTTGTGTGTGTCACTGGCAAGACCACAACTTTTATTGAAGGTGAAGTTGTATGGATTCCAGAGACCTGAAATGAAGACAAAGTGCTGGAGAAACTCAACAGGTCTGGAAGCATCTGAGGAGGAATGGTCTCGAGATCGAGAAGACCCTTCTTCAGAACCAGCAGATGATGCTAGATCTGCGCAGTTTCTCCAGCACATTCTGTATTTAATTCAAAATTTTTATTGACCATTCTTAATTGTCTTTGAGAAGCCACCAGATTGTGATTCAAAATTGGAATTCTGCTTGGTTTTTACGTTTATGTTTGTCAGAATGTTAGAACCAGTTAAATTCGGGAGAATGGAAATCAGCTAACCACATGTCAGCAAACATGCATCAGCGTATTCTGGTCTGCACAGCTCAGTTGCTGATCAGAAAATTGAGTCTTTTAATATAACTTTTTTAAATCAATTATATGTATTTTATATTTTCTTTTAATTTTGAAGCACTTGGAGTGACCTGAAGTACAAAAGTTCTGATGAAGGGTCTAGGCCCTAAACGTTGACTGTCCTGGTCCTCTGATGCTGCCTGACCTGCTGTGTTCCTCCAGCTCCACACTGTATGGGCTACACACTTGCTTTACAGGGAGTAAATGAAGAATAAATTCCCAGGATCCAGTCAAGTGAACATTCACTTATGATGCAAGAGGATAAATTCAGGAGAGTAGGCCAAGATTGCCTGGAATTTGAAAGGATGGGATTAAGCTAATTGAAATATTTAAAATTCTTAAGGAGCACACCAGGATAGATGCTCAGTAAATATTTCTTCTGGCTGTGGATCTAGAGCACAGGGCCATAGTCTGTCAGTGGCCCTGGTCAAAGAATGGGCTACATTGGGTCTGTGCTCAGCCTCAGTCATGGGCCACAGTCACAACAGGCAGAAATTGTCTTAAGCATCTGCACTATGAAGAAACAGTAGGAACATGAGAGTTCTCAAGAATATAGGAAGCATGGCACCTTGCAGCCATTGCCATGGAGTTAGACTCTGTCGAAAATGATTGACAGTTAACTGCCAAGCTTTTTAAAAAATTTTAAACCTTGCAGGTTGGCTCTGGTTGGTAGTGACAAATTGATAGTGTCCCTACCTCCAAGGCAGGAGGCTTGTTTTAAAGTCCCACCTGCTCCAAAAGTGTCTCGTCAAAACTCTGAAAAGATTAATTAGAAAATAGCTTGACTCTTACTGGTTAGGGCTTTGCCCTGAGAAATGAACCAACAAATGGTTGTGACCAATATTGTTGAGTTGAAACAGGTGTAGTGCGTGTTCATGTTATTTCTCTCTAGAAAGATAAAGGCACTGTATATTATATGTAGGTTCCAATATATTCAAATGTGTGAGCCCGCTTGCCGATTAACCAGCACTGTTCTGCAATGCAGTATAAATGTTGGTTTTCCTACTGGTATTCTCGTGAAATGTCCTGAAGAGTGCAATATAAAAAGTTTCAATGGAATGTGTTGTTTTTAGTGATTTTTTTTTTTTTCCCTTGGTTTTTTTTTCCATGAAATAAGTTGGCCTGAGTTCTTAGCTGGCATTTTGCCTCTTCCGGCTGATTGAATGATTTGCAGATGAGAGGTGAATGTTTATTATCATAAATGATGCATTGCAGTTCTGCCGAACAAGCTAGGTGGACCCGACAGCTGTTTCCTGGCTGTCGGTATTTATAGGTAAATCCTCTTGATGAAAAGACAGCAAGAGCAGAACTATACTTGAATAACTGTGCCACGGATGGGAAGGTTGAATTAAAACTTCTTAATTTTATCTTCTGTGAATTATCCTCTTTGTGCCATCCTCTCAGCAGTGTAACCATAGTCGCTGAACACGCGTAGTTCAATGATGTGGAAAGTCGATAGGGATTTATATTGTGATCCACAGCTGTCTAGCAGAAACTTAACAATGGATGGTAAGTTAAAGTAACAAGAATTTACACCTGCAGAGTTGGATCTGAAACTCCATAGTAAGAGTGTAACCTCTTCCCATCCCCACCCTACCAACGAACTACCCTGAACCACTCTTCTCCCAATTCAAGAACAGCGTAATTCAAAGAATTTGCCACCAACTCATTCTGCAAATACTGGACTCTGTCAAATAGCTTATCTTCTGTTTCTCTCTCCCACCCCCATCTGTTCCCAAGAAATTTGACCTCATTCATCAGTCATATGTAGTGCCTTGTTGAAGACCTTTTGGAAACCTAATTACCTTAATCGTACTGAATTTTCTTTGTCTGTCTTGGATATCTCTTTGAAGAATTCAATAAGGTTGGTCAGACTTGCCCGTTTTGAATCTATGCTTATCACTTATTCATAATATTTTTGATTTTTAGGTGTTTTACTGTTTGCCATTTAATAGGGATTCCGATCCTGGTCTGTCTTCGATAAACTGACTGGTCTGTAATTCCTGGACATTTTCTATTTCGATTCTTCAATAACTTAGCCATCTGACAGTCCTCAGACACACTTCACCTTTTTCTGTGAATTATAGAGTATGTGTATTAGTGTTTCAGCACTTTTTTGTCTTGATCCTTTTAAAATGGATAGAGGTAATCTGCTCAGTTTTTATCCTCTTTGAACATGATTTCTTGAATATTCTTCTTCTATTTGTTTTACTAAGGTTATATCCTTTCCAATCATCATCCGATTCCATACTTGCTTGATTGGCTCCCTGCTACATATTGAAACAAAGTAATTACTTGTGTTCTTGTCTATGATTGTATCCATACACCTTTTCAATGGTCCCGTTGCCATTCCTGAATTCCCCTTTTCCACTTGTGCATTAATAGAATGTTTTGTTGTCCTTTGCAATTTAATTACACTGTTTTTCTTTGCCTTCCTAATTATTTGTTTAACTTACCTCCTAGTCTCTTTTGTATTTCCTTCTTACCTTCCATTTACAGGAGAGGAGAATATGTTTTAACGAAGATCTGTAGCTCAGGTTGTGGTTGGAGTTGTTGGCTGGCTCGTCAGGCTGACTGGTTTTCGTGCTAATGTTTCGTCTCCCATCTAGGTGACATCTTCAGTGCTGTCTAGCTTGCGTTAAAGCACTTGTTCTGTCCTGCTCTGAATTTATATGGTCCAGCGCACAAACCAACAGCCACACTTCACCCGTTACACTCAAAGACGAAAGACCCCATACCAACAATGAGCAGGACAAATGTGATATACAAAATACCATGCAGCGACTGTGAGAAACACTACATAGGACAGATGGGCAGTAAACTCGCCACCAGGATACGTGAACACCGACTAGCAGCCAAACAGCACAACCAACTCTGCTTCATTTCGATACACTCCGACATAGAAAGACATCAGTTTAACAACATAACAGTACTGGGACAAGCAAAATAAAGACCAGCGCAAGAATTCCTGGAGGCCTGGTTTTGAACCACCAATGTGATAAACGTTGAAATAGACCTTATCTACATACCAGTATGGTACAAAACAGGAAACGAGACTATCCACCATGACAGACTGGACCAAATAAATTCAGAGCGGGACAGAACAACAGCGCTTCAATGGAGGCTAGACAGCACTGAAGGAAGACAAAACATTTACACAAAAACCAGTCAGCTCGGCGAACCAACCAACAACTGCAGGAGAATATGTCCCTTTCCTCACCGTCAGTTATTCCTTTGTTGTTATTCATCCAGGATGATGCATCTGTGTTTAGCTTGCCTTTGTATTTTTGCAGAATATAGTTTTCCTGCACTCTGGATAATGTGTTGAATATTTCCTGTTGCTGTTTTACATCATTGTTTGCTAATATTGTTGGGGTTTTTTTTACTCCACAAATTCTACTCTTAACCCCTCAATCTTTTTTCTGAATGGCAATTCTGGACTTTGTCATGCTTATTTCCTTCTTAATTATTATCTTAAATTGTCTTTTCTTATAACCAGTCTTGCCTAGATGCTCCCTCACTTATGAATTTATGATCAGCTCAGCTTCCTGCCCCACGTTGGAGATTGAGTGAGTAGCTCAGCCGGCTGGTTTGCAATACAGAGTGTTGCTAACAGCGTAAGTTCAGTCCCCTCACCGACTGACCATGAAGCTCCTACCTCTCAACTTCACCCCTGGCCTGAGGCAGAGTGACCCTCAGGTTAAACTCATCACCAGTCATGTCTCTGTAATGAGACAGCGGCCCTATGGTTTTGTAAGGTTATGGCGACTTGATCTTTACAAGATTCAGTGGTAAGTCCACCCACTTCTAGGTTTCCTTAAATGCTGAATTAGAAAGGAGTCCTATGCACACCATTCTCTTGTCTTGCCTTTACTAGGTAATTAATTCTGAGCTTAATCCTTTTTAACAATTACTCCTATGTTTGCTTCTCATTTCTCTAATTTGTTTACATATTTCTTCCTCTACCATAAGACTTTAGATCATTCAGCCCATCGAGTCTGTTCCACCATTCGATCATGTCTGATATGTTTCTCTGCCTCGTTTTCCTGCCTTCTCCTTGACCCCTTGCCAATCAAGAGCCCACATATCTCTGTCTTAAATACACTCATTGACTTAGCCTCCACTGCCATCTGCGGCAATAAGTTCCATAGATTCACAACCCTTTGGCTAAAGAAATTCCTCCTCATCTCGGTTCTAAAAGGTTGACCCTTTAGTCTGAAGCTGTGCCCTCAGGTCTTAATCTCTCCAGCTAGTGGAAATGACTTCTCCATGTCCACTCTTTCCAGGCCCCTCAGTATTCTGTAAGTTTTAATCAGATCCCCATCTCACT